TCTGGGCTAATCTAGGTCAGGGCACTGCCAGGCTTGTATATCATTTTTTTGAATAACAATAATGTACATGAGAGGCATTTCTAACATACCGATATTAAAAGATGCTGGTGAAGATGTCATGAATGCATCCCCTGATGAAAACGGGGTGCTGACAGGTGCAGTAGCTTTGGCATCAGTATCTTTACTATCCTTTATCATCGTACTTAAGGTATCTGTGGGGGTACTGAGGTTTGAYGATGAGAGGTTTGAGTCACTTCCTGGACTTGTGATGGTTTTTGGATTTTTGCCAGAACTGATATCAAGTAAGTCATCACTAGAACGATATCTACGAGGAAGTATCATTAATAATYAAAGTTAGGCATAAATATAATGATTATATTACCCAAGGGGCATAACCAAGTAGGTTATTTAACCTGCATGGTTTAACTGGCATGGTATTAACGATACATGGTTGACTCGGTTGAGCATCGAACTGACCAACACCGAGGATATTAAATATTGAGGACAAGGTGCTGCTTTAAAAATGACATCAACAATTGGTCAGACTTTAAAGTGGATTGGAGGAACATGGGGGTCACATCTCTCTCTGGCCAGACCAACACTGTGGGTCTTAAATAATTGAGGACAAGGTRCTGCTCTTCAAAATTACATCCACAAATGGTCAGACTTTAAAGTGGCTTGGCAGACAATTTCAAATGGCAATCACGTCTCTCTCTGGCCAAACCAACACTGTGGGTTTAATTGAGGGAAAGGTGCTGCTTTTTAAAATACCTCTACAAATAGTCAGACTTAAAGTGGCTTGGCCTGCTCTATATTGGGAAGCATTCCTTAATTCATRCTTTTAACATAACTTACAACTTAGTAGTGCTGCTATTTCGTGAGTTTTCTGTTGACGCCCTGCTTCTGAATCCATCATTCAACCCTGGCAATGAACAATAAATATATCATAAACTAAATTCATTAGACTTTTAGATCTACCTAAATGGACTAGATCAACGATTCAGCAGCCATATTGAATCGCAAGGCATAATGGGTCGCCCAGGGGGTAAGAAAAAAAGGAAATATGACAACCACATGATATGTGAGAAATTTCCTCAGTTGTGGAACTGTGCATTTTTTAATATTCATCTATCATCAAATTGTCTTGTTATGAACCATCGTAAATGTCAATTGACACCATTATTGAAATAAAGCTTTGTATATTTGCCCCTCTGGATGACCCACAATGGCTTTTGATTCAAAATGGCTGCCTTATAGTTTGCTGTCAGACAGTCAACAAGGGACCAATGGTCAACTGATGATTGCCTAACACTGGGGTGAATGTAGATCAACCTACCCGAAGATGAGCTCAAATTCCTCCTCTGAAAGGAGAAATAAATTAATAAGTAAATTAATGAATAAATTAACGAATAAATTAACGAATAAATTAATGTATGAATCAATACATTAATTAATCAATTAATTAATCAATTAAGAGATGAACAATGAATGAAAGAGGAAATTTGCAATGCACTCTTCAGTAATATAGGCTAACTAGAATATGCAATATTTTGATAAATCTAGTCACTGGTGGGCAAGACAAAAAAATGGACATGCGAAAGCTTACATGGCAAGTAAGTACATTAGAACCTCTTAGTCTATCAGATGCCAACCCTCCAAGAATTGACAACTGGTTGCTAAATGAAGGTCAAGTTGGCTGCTTAATAGTTGGGTGCTCTTTATCATTCTTGATATATAACACTGACAATGCTTACCATTGATGATGGAGAGGAAAGGATTAGTGAATCAGTGATTTTCTTGATCTCGTCMACAGATGCTGTTTGTGACACCATATCGTCTACTGGTTTGATGGTCACTTGGATACGCCTTGGCTCGTCATCTGATTCAAATGTTAAATAATCACTTTTATTAACTAATATTAATTTAAAATGTAATTTATCATAAATCTGTCCTGGGTGACATGGGTGGCGTATGCTACCATGGCCAGTGCGGTCTCTCAATCAGTGGCAAGATATATAGTGAGTATGTACATATATAGAGGATATCAAATGGACGCGCTGAGATACGAATTTTATCTTCGAATGTTCAATTGAGTGAGATATCTAAATTGAACACGAGAACATAAAATTCGTATCTCCAAGCGGCCATGTAATGTTCTGTTTATTATATAGACATCAGTGAAACTTAAATAAAACAAAAGCTCAAAAATTCTTTATTAAAATAGCAAGCCGATTCAACAGCGATATCTTCACGTGTGAAAGATATGGTATCTTCCACTGGTGAAAGATATCAAGTTTTCAACACTAGAGAAAACCTGGTATTTCATTGATATCTATGTAATAAATATATATTATTGACTGGCCAGGAGGTCTGGTTAGCGAAAAAAGGTGCCAGAGGTCTTGRATACATGGACCAAGGCCATTATACCGAGTTCTTTTTTCAAGGCTGGGGGCAAACTTCTTTCCCTTTCTGGACCAACTTTAGGCCAGCAAAAAACTTATTTACTTTTCATCATTTATTTTTTTCCTTGTTTTAAATTTTTTTTGTTTAACAAACTACTTCCCCATGGGCGTGCTTGAATGTATAAGCCTTATGTCAGAATACCCGACTGCGGGCAGAAATAGAAAACACTGCCTGCTCATCCAGCCAATCAGAATGCACAATTTTAGGATGCCAGACTAGAAAAAAATTTAATATTTTTATTATCATTATTAATAATTGATATTATCTTACCATCATCAGAATCTGAATCWGAGTCAGATGAGGCTCCTCCTGATTTAGCACTTGGATAAAGTCAAGGACAATCGCTGTAAACTTGTATTTATCAAACTGAATTAAACTATATATGAAACACAGGTGGTGTAGCCTAAAGTTTGCTTGCCTCTCACCAATGCGACCYRGGTTYRAGYRCTGMCKAKCTCTGTGTTGATTKTGAGTACAGTKGTTTRTTGRTTCTCTCCTGTGCTTCAGARGGTTTTTCTAACAGATTTTCCAGTTTTSCTCCCAATTCAATCTGTCAGTTACCTTGTATTTGGGTCAAAGTTTTGACTAAGGGAATCCGGGTTATATTTGAATGCAATACTCTATTTTACAGTTCCGTTYGAGTGACCAMGAATAATAGTTGCAAGTCGAGGCTGCAGTTTCCGCRCATAGCAAAACTATRYTTTTTATCATGCGYGGAAACTYCAGCCTCGTCTTGGAATGRAACWGYAAAATGGAGTATTGGGCTATGTCTTAAAAAAGCTGACTTAAAATAACTTCTTTAAATAATCATAGTCCAATTAAGTTACTTGGTACAGTAAGAAATAATGAAAGGATATTCTCAGTATCTGGCGGTCGTATTCGGTAGCCTTCATCATCGACTTCAAATGAAGGATCGCGACTTATCTAGATATGGAAAAAATTATAAAAATTGAGTTAAAAATATGTTTGACAATATTATGCCAATATTATTACACTTATCTTCAATAGAAAGTGRTTTCTTTGGTGGGATACCTTTGGTGTGTTACTGGGGGAGGCTGAGTGATTTACCCCTCCTCTCTCCCTAGCCCCCTACTCCTTCCTTTATAATAAAGGAATCCCAAGTGCCRAAGATAAGACAGCTATTTTCATAAACATGCGAACTCTACATGTAGTTGCCATTTGCCCATTAGAATTTGGTTTTCACTGTCGCCAGTCAAAAATATGAAAGGTACCAGCTGATTACTTTTGATTGATGGCAGCAAAACAAAATTACAGCATGTCAAGGGCAGATCCAGGGGAGGCAAAGGGGGGGAAGGCCCCCTTTCAGCAGAAAAAAAAACAAAACAAAACTGAAAAATTAGATGCTTTTTTATTGTTTTCCGTTGTGTTGACAGAAGAAACTCAATTAGCCCCCCCCTAAAATTTTGGCTGGATCTGCCCTTGAATGTAGCTTGCAGCACTGAGTTTGCATGCTTATGAAAATAGCAGTCATGATACTTAATACTTACACTTCCTTCACTAACTGGTGATTCACTGAAAAAAAATTCAAACAGAAAACATCAATATTGTTGCATTTCATACACATAGCATGCACCATACAAGATCAGTAAGGAGAAAAAGTGTCATTAAAAGTTCAAAGGTTAAATTTTAAATATCAACACGTGTGTCTTATTGTGTGCAACCATTAACYGTTAAACTGTTAGCCAGCTGAAATATCGAAATKCAAATGARATGATGTAACTATGAGATGACGATTAAAATATGTGTTACATTTTGCAGATTAAAGAATGTGTTAWGTTTTGTAGTGTAATAATTACACTATTACCCTCACTAACTAAACTTTAATAATTAAACTACTCACGACAAGTGTTCTGAAGTGATCTCCGAAAAGAAAATTCCAGATACAAAAATACTGCAACCATAAWACTACACTGTTCACATACAAGTGAAATTCGAAAAAAACAATTTTTCCTTGATATGACAATTCTTATTAAGATTTTCAATTTTGCTATTATTATGATTACCAATGTGAYGAATTTGAAAGTATATTTAACTTATTTTAATAAATCAAATATCTTATAATGGCATGCTACATAAGATAGGTCAATTAGATCACAAGTGCGAGCTAGCCAGCTATCATACTAACAAAATACTAACACATCTTCATGATTGTAATAAACATGGTTAATCTTGGACCGTATACCATCAGATAATGTCTTCCGCATCTTTGACTGAGTCCTGGAAGTCCCAAGGGAAGGGAGTGGTTTATTGCGCGCAGTATTTTGAACGAGCTTATCCAGCTCCTGGACAATACGTGATTAAATATTAAATGATTGATTGATTGATTGATTGATTGATTGATTGATTGAGCGGTCACATGTCTCTTATCCAATCAAAAGGGTCCAAGGAGGCAGTAGAGATTTCTCTGGTTACTTAGTTGTTATAGTTGTGGTCATGAGATCAATTGTTTGACTCACTAGCATTATGTTATTGATGTGTTAAGTTTTACCATTATAAAACAAAAAAATTACTTATCCATTTGATATTTTTCTCTTATTCTCTCTATTTCATTACACACACCGAAYGCATAATTYATTACTRCTATACTACATTTATTTATTCGTTCAGCTAGTCCATCTATGTATCCATCCTTCAACCCATCCTTCTTTTTTCTTTCCTTTCTTGACCTTCTGTCCGTCCATCCATTCATCCATCTACTAATCCATCCATTCAATAGCCCATTCATCCATCTGTTCATCCATCCATAAATCTATCCATCTCTCTGTCCGTCCGTCTGTCTATCCATCATATTTGTCCATTCCATCATTCAGTCAGTTGCTCAGTCAATTGCTCAATCCTTCCTTCCTTCCTTCCTTCCTTCCTTCCTTCCATTTACATATTCTTTCATTTTATCTTAGCTACACATGAACATAGTTAGATTGAAAACCTACACTGGTCCATTTTGTTGATGTTCTGGAGATCCTTGACTGTTGCTTGGACTAGAATTGCTTCCCTTTTCTTTCTTCTTCTTCTTTTTCTTTTCTTTCTTTTCTTTCTTTTTCTTGTGTAGTGGGAACCCTGAAACATTTGAGATAAAACTGTGAGACCTTCGAAAGTCTGGAAAGATATAATTTCATGTTCCACCAGATGGAGTATTCACACCCTCTGCATGATAAACATAAAATGAATTTTCAAAAAAATGTTTTAAGTGTCTAGTTCATTCTAGCATTTTTGCACTTATTGGGAACACTTTTCTCTCACAYGCACTACCACTACATTCAATGTTCTAGGCACACAATGCTCATTTTACATCTTGATTTTTATGGAGGGAGGAAAGAGGAGAACCAGAAGAAAAACCCTCATAGCACGGAAGAGAACAACACGTCAAACAAACTCAATTCAYATAGTAGTACATGCATGGTGTCTGCAGGGCTCAAACCAGTGACCCTAACCTTTTTTTACGTTATTCGAAACTTTTAAGTTCTTATTGTTTTATCTTTTTATTTTAATGTTTGAAAAAAAACATTTTAGAGGGTTATTTGTATGCATCAACATATATGAGCATAATAATCAAAAATTTGATGTATATATATGTAAAAATTCCCTATTTTATTAGAGAAAAGTTTTTCAGAGGTTTTTCACTACGCATACCTGATAATGGTGGCTTCGTAGTCTGCGGCTTGTTGTTTGTGCTTGGTGAGCTATCTATATTGACCAATGCRTCTTGGTGTTCTTCATACTCTTCAAATGTTATCACACCTAGAACATATGGCAAACCATTTACAATMATTCTCATGATGACTGCTTTATCACCACATTCATCACCACATGGGTTACTTCAACGATACRGCAGCCATCTTGCCAGAGGCAAAACAAAACAAAGWTGGCAGAAAACATGTAGAGTTTTGTGTCTAGGATAATCAACATGCTGTCTTAATTCGATTCATTGTTTGTTGTATTCTCTTGTGGTGAGCTGTTATGTACTTAATATGGATTGACGTCGTTACTGTAACTAAGATTCATTTACCCCCTGGATGGCCCATAATGCCTTGCAATCCAAGATGGCCTTCGTGTCATTGAAGTAGTCCAATGACATCTATAAATCTCAGTTTTTGAAATTGTTTTAAATAATTTAACAACTTCAAACTGAGATTTATAGATGTCATTGGACTACTTCAACGATACGGAGGCAATTATTGCCAGTGGAGAAAGAAAGACAGACAGACAAGACAGACAGACAGAAAAACAAACAGACTGTAGACAGGATGGACAGACTGATAAACTCATAGAAAGACAAACAAAGAGAAAGACAAACAAACAAACAAAGAGAAAGACAGTTGGACAGACAGATGGAGACCTACAGTATGGAGAAACAGAGATAGAAATACATGTAGAGGCAGACTTTTAAACCTTCTCCTTAACCCTCTATTACCTGGTATGTCTAATCCTGTGCCTTTACGACGAACCAACTGATCCAGCAGTTTGTCGATGGTAAGGGCTCTTAGATGCTCACGGAACTCTGTATGAACCTAAAAATATATATTCAATCATTACAACCCATATTCTACAAATTAGTTCTTGTTCAAACTGATAAAATGCATACCATATCCGTGAAAAACTTTGTAAGAAATTGCACAAATTAATCAAGTCTTCTCGGACAAGGACTTAAAACCATAGGCCCTGTCTGTCTTCTCTATATAACTCTGTATAAGGCRGACGTAAAAGATCCACTGACGCTGGTGACGACCATCTTCAGTACCGGTGCTAACCGGCTGCCTTATCAATTGGGCCGCAGGCCTGTTAGGCATCCAGCTGACCACCTAGGGTGGTAAACGCACTAAACTAAACTAAGCATGTCAGTGGTAAAATTTGACCTGCATTTTGGCCATTGGCAAGCAATTATTTTGAGCCCTGTGATAAAGTCCTTCATCAATACAGCCTTAGAACATATTGCATTCAACCACATTCAATAATTATGAATTATTTCCTCATTTGAATATTTGGGGGAGAGGGGTGGAGGGAGAATCCTTTCTATATCCTTGTACCTTTTCCATCATTTTGCATCCTGATAGATGAGAATCTATATATGTCTCCAAGTGCCCAATAAYTGTTTTTAGGTGCTCTTCTTCAATCTTTTGAAATTTCTAAGATAAAGAAATATGAGAAATGASTAAAAATAATCGTATTGGGCTTCCTGTGGTAAAAAAACACAGACAACCCAAAATGCTGTTTTTGAGAATACAGTTGGTATTAAAAAAGTTTGAAAGAAAAAATCAAAAGAAAGCAGCTTTACTTACTCTGGATGTTTCCACCATCTTGTCATGAAATTCATTCCTAATTATTTCTCGTCTCTCAACTAATGCTTTGTATTCTTCTCCTAAGATAAAAAGGTCAAAAACGAAACAATATACAAGCATTTTAAAAATAAATACTGTAGTTTAATCAGATCTAAAACGTTTTTTGAAAAATGTGCTACAAATTTTAGACTCCAGAACTTTGAGTTTTGCTATTATTCATGCTCTTAGAAATAGAGTCTAACAATAAGATCGCTGGTCACCCTACAGAACGGTAGTCTTTCGTTGACCATATTTCTATCTATTGCARACTGATGCATCTCTACACTGTAGATACGAGTTTCATTGCCAAAACACCAATACACATGTAAGATATTATTGTGCAGGAATAGCACACTTGCATTATGGCATCATTAACTACAGCTATCACAATCCCTTGCACTTTTTTTACACTAGTTTTGGTTCCACTTACCAGCCTTTTTCATTTTCAATTCTGCCTAAAAAAATAATAAAAAATCATACAATGAATTTTACTTGGCCTTTTTCTATAGCAATTATTACAGTGGTTAGAATAAATATAGTCTATGTTGAGCAAAAGGTAGAGTGTACTTTCCTCTTAACTCTGAGCCCTTAAGTTTGACTCCTGGACTCAGCATGACATGTGAGTAGAGTTTGTAAGGTCTCTTCCTTGATTCAAAGGTTTGTGAGTTAGTTGTGCCCTGACTTAGRTCAGCCCAKAGGTTGTTTCAGGATTCAATCTGTGAGTTAGCCATGCCCTGACTTAGATCAGCCCAGAGGTTGTTACAGGGTTCAATCTGTGAGTTAGCCATGCCCTGACTTAGATCAGNTTCAATCTGTGAGTTAGCCATGCCCTGACTTAGATCAGCCCAGAGGTTGTTACAGGGTTCAATCTGTGAGTTAGCCATGCCCTGACTTAGATCAGCCCAGAGGTTGTTACAGGGTTCAATCTGTGAGTTAGCCATACCCTGACTTAGATCAGCCCATAGGTTGTTTCAGGGTTCAATCTGTGAGTTAGCCATGCCCTGACTTAGATCAGCACAGAGGTTGTTTCAGGGTTCTGTCTGTGAGTTAGCCGTGCCCTGACTTAGATCAGCCCAATAGGTTGTTTCAGGATTCAATCTGAGAGTTAGCCATACCCATGATTTAGCTGTATCCTGACTTACTGTAGATCAGCACAGCGGTTATGACAGATGTCAATCCTGTGAGTTAGCCRWRCCCTGACTTAGATCAGCCCAGAGGTTGTTTCAGGGTTYGATCTGTGAGTTAGCCRTGCCCTGACTTAGATCAGGCCAAAGGTTGTATCAGGGTTGAATTGTGAGTTACCCATGCCATGACTTAGATCAGCCCAGAGGTTGTTACAGGGTTCAATCTGTGAGTTAGCCATGCCCTGACTTAGATCAGCACAGAGGTTGTTTCAGGGTTCMATCTGTGTGWTCTGAYTTTGATCAGCACAGAGGTTTATCCTTGCCATCCCCCTCTATTTTCACCCACCCTCATTCTTCTAATCTATCCCAAGATCTCTAAGATAGTACTGACCAATGCATGAGTAAATTAGTGAATTTTTGGTACTTATGTCATACCTTTTCTATTTCTTTTTGACTTGTGCCATCTTTCTTACACTTCTCAAATTCATGACACCTTGCATAGTAGATTTCCTTTGCCTGTTRTTGAAAAGAAGATTAAGATTGCAGAGGCGATAGTAGTGCATTTACAGGCTAGGTAACCCTATTCACCTTAAAACAAGCGAYTGTGTCAAAATGAACAATGTTTATGAAAATATTACTTGGGCCCGGTTGTACAAAGGCTGGATAGACGACGGATAAATCTTATCCAGTGGATAAATTTATTGGATAACAGCATTGACTTATCCACTGGATAAGGATTTATCTGCCAGATAGTGCTATCCAGGCTTYGTACGACTGTGCCTTGGACATTAATGAAGAGGGGAAGTTTCAGCTCATAACATGTGAAAGAGGATCAACGATAGGGGAAGTAAGGTGGCATAATATTGAGAGCAATCACYTCTCATCAATGCGACCCAGGTTTGAGTCTTGCTAGGCTCGGCATTGTGTGTGAGTCAAGTGGTTTGTTAGTTCTCTCCTGTGCTTTGTTGGTTTTTTTTTCCGTAATTCTCCAGTTTTCCTGTCACTGTAAAACCTAACAAGCTCACCCAATCAGCCCAAAGCTTGTTCAAGGATTTGATTAAATTTGAAGGTTTTGAATGTTTGTCCAACTAACCTTAGTAAGTCCTTGTGTCATGCTCTGCATTGTCTGTACTATCTCAGCCGTACCACTGAATTCCTCTTTTGCCTAAAGAAGAATACATTAATTTGATCAATGAACCTTTTCAATTTTTTCCATTCCAGACAACTTGTCATTCCCTAGAGCAAAATTTCCAGCCAGAACTGGGACTTGTCCAGTCAAATCTTTTCCTTCCTGGTCATTTTGACCAGTAACGTTTAGCCAGAAATGAGGTATGACTAAGCTACAACTAATTTGGACRGCGATCATGACCAGCAACTGATCTGCTGTTATTTTGAGTGTCCATGATATAAAAAATCTAGAATATTTTCTACTTATTCCTATTCTTGTAAGCCTTGTTTTCAGTATCAACGGAAGAATAAATAGAATCATAAATTGGAAATTCTAGCATAAAAACCTGGCTTTGTGAATTGAATGGAGAGAACTGTGGTGAAATAATGATAGATATGTTGATCATCACAGTGAATAAGCGATCTAAGCGAAGGCTGTAGAGAAAGACCTGTTGGTTAGCGGTCATTTTTGTTGGGTTCATCAAGCCACTATAGGTAATAAGTGTGAAATGAATGGATAGAACTGTGGCGTAATAATGTTAGAATGTTGGTCATCACAGTGAATAAAAAGCTTTGGTTTACTTTTCCTGCATATCAGTCATATTCATAAATCATATGAACTGAGTYACGTGTATTGAAAGTCTATAACAGCTATTCAAGGAAATGAAATGATGAAAGACAAAGAAAAAGTATATTTACACWAATAAAAAATAAAATATAAATAAGTTTGAGTGTTCACACTTTAAGTAGAACGACAGTAGTGTGTGTTGTACACAGAACATCGAATGTACTGACAGAGTGAAAGTGATTAAGAAAAATATTCACAATGACTTTGTTCAYGCAGCACAACTAAGAAGCGTTAAAGCGCTCAGGACTTACTGCTTTATGTCGCTCTTTCTGTTTGTCACCATATTCTTTTACTTCTTTTGCAAGTTCATGTAATTTCACCATAACCGAATGATGTGCATTAGCGAGCTTATCAGTAGCAACACGAAGAACTCCCCAWAGTGGTTCAAATGACCTGGCAGAAGTAATCAAATCGATAAAAAATATCAAAACACAAGCAAGAAGGATATAAATTAGTTCGTTTGGGAATGARAAATACAAATCCATGTTAATGAATTTGTTCAAAGCATATAATATGAATAATAATGACAATTGGAGGTCTTTTTGGGTAATAAAAGTTAAAATGTTTTAATTRATAGGCCAATGAGAATGGTATCGTWAATCCAASTTATGAAAATAATTGGTGAAATTATTAACCAAAATCTAGCCACAAAAATGTTGACCAAAATTGTGCCAAAAGTGTCAATGTTTTGTTTTAAAAATCATTAAAATGTGTAAAAATAATTACATGTGGCTTAAAAAATCTTAGAAAGGTAAAATTAAACAATAAGTTACCAGTAAACTTGCTTTAGGAATTATCGATAATTTATGTAAGTAAATATTGTCTTAAATAAGATGAGTTAATRAAGGACAGATTAATTGACATCTATAATAATCAAAGCATACATGGATAAATATTATTTTTATATTTAATGTATGAAAATATTTATCTATTATTCTTGGAGATAGTAYTTCTGGTGGTTTGAGAAACCATTGAGGAGTAAAAAGCCAACAATTTGACTCAATTATATTTTCAGAAAAAAACTTGAACGTGAGCTAATTTGCATGGTATTTTGAGGAGCTAAGAAAATTAGGTAAACTTCAAAATTCACCAAAACACTTAGTTAATATTATTTGTATCGAATATCTTGTCCTCAGTTATTAAATAATTATCCAACATTTCATTTTATTGGTAAAAACTGGGTTCAAGACAAGGGACCCCGACTGTTAACCTTGGAATTTCAGTGTCAAATTCCTAAAGTATTCSAACACAAACACTCAAGATTTCTTCCAAAAATACTCCCAAAATGAGCATAAAATCATAATTGCTGGTAACTGTGATATTTTGAAGATCTATTTTCTTGATTGATGCTTCCTTTTGCTATTAAGATAGTATTTATGATGTGAAAATTTTAATTTGAAGAAGACTGAGTGAAAACGTGAGATTATTTTGAACGTTTTCAGGAAATCAAACGTACGTATATTATAATCTTTATTAACTCTTTCTTATCTTKCAGATCGTCACGATTTTCAAACCAGGAGAATATTTAATTAATATACAAGGAAATTACAGAGATCGGAGAAGAYCGGAGAAGAGGAAAGCAAAACAAAATTCAAAAATACATAGACAACTCGATGTATTTTTGAGGATTGATGCATCTTGTAATTAAACTCAAAAAACGATATTCTTAATTAAAATTAAAAAATAAGCTTACCCAAGTTGAGACACAGAACACGCTGATTTAGCAAGCTTCACAAGAGATTTTGAGTAACTTTCTTCCACTGCAGCTCTAAGATAAAATAATATTTTCCTTATTTTTGAAGGTTACGAAGTTTTTCAAAGCAACGAAGAGTTGCAATTTTGAAGCGAAATTTCTAATGTTGATGGTTTTGACACGAGTTTAAGCTCACCTTTCTCGGATGAATTCACTAACTTTAACACTGACATTATTTCCATGTTTCATATTATGATACAGCACATCGTATCCTGAATTCTTGTCGCCCTGATGAGTAGAAAACCAGAAAAAAACGTCAATCAAAATGACTCCTAAACTCCTTCGAGTTGACGAAAAAGAAGCGAAGTTAAACGTAAAACAATCAAATTTGCAGCTCAAAAAAATAAGTTTTTAAGGTTGTATACCCAGAAACGGTCCTCGAAGGCGACCATGGTGCTTTGTGGTATCTTTTGGAGGTATTACATTAGGATAAAAGTGGTTTTTATGAAGGAAGGAAAAGTGTTTCACTCAACATGGCTGATACAAGCAGCTCGCTTGGCAGAACGGAAATTGGAATCTCCCACATCCCAGGCCCCTGTCATGCACGGTCCCCGTACCTCCCCTCCCCTCTAAACAAATCTAGCATAGAAAACCAGAATGCAAATTTTTTCTTTTCTTTTTCTTTTTCAAGCTATTATTTCCTGGACGTTCTACTGTTTCAAATCCTCTGAAATAAAGCATTTAGTTCAAATACACCGAGGGATCAAAATAAATCTTATTTCCAATGGATTGGCCTCAAGGGGTGATGTACAGTTTGCATTTTTTAAGTGACAAAAAACTCAAATTTTTTTCATCCTTTTCGCTTTCCGTTTGAATTATTTCAACTCCAAATATTTTAAATTAGTTTTTAAAGTGGATCGATAGAACGGCCATTGCCCCTCCCTCCCCTCCCCTCCCTCCTAATATCGAGCCCCTTTGTTTAGTTCATTGTGATCTGCGGTTTCGAATTCATTGCAAGTTTCAATGCTGTTATTTACTGGCAGCTTAAATTACGAAACTTCATATAAATACTATCAATAAGAGAGAAAGAAAGAAAGCCGCAATTTCAGTTTCGCTTGCAGTAAAGGCGACGCTAGGTGACTTGCAACCTTTATTGTCATAAGTTCAATCTAAAAATAAAATCATTAATAATTCCTTCCTAAAGAGTAGGATTTCCTTTATTCTTTGCTAAAGGTCAAAGAAAGAAAAATTTTTCCTTATAAGGACGAAGATTCTCAATCTTCAGCAATTTTATTCAGTTTCAAGTCGTTAAAACGGTTGTTACAAGCACGTCCATGCTATCTACTCATACAAACTGAAGCCGATCCAGTAAAAAAAAAAAATCACAATAAAAATGAGAATGTGAAAAGTCCATCGAAAAAAGTGAAGGTTAGCTTATTTATGAAAAAAAAGGTTTTTCTATAGAACCGAAAATAATATGATTTATGAGATTTATTAGATCGAAGTTAGCCGAGTTAGTAAGTAGTTTAGGTATTTCCGTAAAAAATACGATCTTTTTGTTTCAAGACACAAGACAGAAAATTTTGAAATTGTAGGATTTGAACAGAGCTYGTTCTGTGTTTAAAACTGCAGTTCTAAATTTGTGAATGTTCAATTTTTATGGCCTAAATAGTCTCGATTAATTCCTAATGAYAGCACTATAATAACTGCAAGTACTGAAGTTCAGTAAACCTCAAAATAAACCAGGAAAAAGCTAGTCAAACTTAATCAAGCTTATCTATTATAGAGCTTACCTGTTTTAATGAACTTTTTCCTTTGCCTTGAAAAACGAGTGACTTCCTTGCAGACGGAGAAACCTTCCTATCTATCAATGGCTGTAGTATAGTCGGAGAAGCACTATTTCTCCACTTAGTACTTGCTTCCAAGCTCTTATCCTTGCTTTCACTTTTCTTAAAGATGTTAGAAACCCTTCTAAAGAAATGTGAATCTCTAGGAGTTTGGTTGACTTCTTCTGTGCCTGTATGGCTTCGAGTGATCATTGAAACCACCCGATCATCTTCCGATGAAGAGTCGCTGGAAAAAATACTTTCCAGTATCGGCTTGTTCGGTGTTTTCCTCTTCATTCTTCTGCTAAACGTTTTTAAATCTTACGATTTTCTTTGAAGGAATTTCAAGTAAAGTCTTCTTAACAAAAAATTTTAAAGTTGAAATCAATGCCGACATTTTTGYTAGATTTCAGCCAGAAAACGATATTTTACCAACTTTTAAGATGCTTTTCTGTTAAAATTCTCCAAGTTTGAACAAAAAACTAGTTATAAGTATTAGGTTAGCTCACTAGAAAGCTAAACAAGTCAGCATTTTGTTATTTTTCCTCATTTTGTTGAAGTTTTTCATACTTCTTTCAGAAACTGTCGTTATTCAAACCAACCTACATCGAGGAGGGARGGGTAGGGAGAGTTAGGAGGAAACCTTTGGGGAGGGGAAGGGGAAATATTTGTAACYCAAAAACCACAGGAAACCCAWTTTRTAYAAAAGCTCTAAACTTAAAAATAARAGAATAAGATAGATATTGACACATAGACATACATACTTGCTGCCTTGTGGGGCATTTTAAGTTATAATTATATTTACATTTCTTTCAAAGCATTACATTTTAAAATTGYAAAAGGCGATTGTCTTAAAACCACAGGGAGCCCAAATGAACCTGTTATGTGAATGTTTCAAAGAAGCCTTCTTTGAAATTTGACTGATATTTGTACAAGGAACAGGATCRAAACTCCAAAATAAATACCCCTCCTCCCCCCTCCCCCCAACAACAACAACCCCCAGAGACCGATCTCTACTGAAATGCGTTTTTCAATTTTATGCCCCGTCAAGTTGGATGCGCACGCAACTTCGAAAAAACGGTCTACTGAGGCATACTGGACCCATTCTTGATATTTCCCTGTTTCCATGGTGATACGGCTTACAATTACCTAGAATCAAGGGCTTTACATACGAAATCATAATTGCGGTCGCAAGGAACATCATTCCAAGAACCATCTGCGAAAGAAATGACACAGTCCTCTTTTGATTCGAGGTCGTTGGGTTCTGGAGCAGCCCAGTTTGTGTATTTGAATGGACGTCCATCGTACCATTCAAACGTTCCTTCTGTTGTCTTGTCATTCAGACCAATCCAGTAAGCTATTTCGTTGGCCGGTGCTGAAAGGCAAAGGGGTAAAATAGAGCCTTTATCGAATGAGTGGGTAATTTGCGCGGTACTGATTTAAAAAATGTACACGGTACGACATGATGTATAACATTGGTATGATTTCCCTGTTATCGTAGACTACTCAAGGCAAAATGTACGGTACTGACTTAAAGCACGTAAACGGTACGACATGCCGTAACATTTGGCTTCCCATAAGCATGGTTATCGTATGAGTGGGAAA